TGTGCTCTTCCGATCTAGGGTTTACGATACTAAATACTTCACAAGAAGAATCAATACAAGAAATTCAAAATTGTAAAAAAGTGAAAAGACCTGTTTGCTTTATATTTTCAGCCTTAGGGTCGCAATGGCCAGGAATGGGTATACATTTTTATATTATATACTTTATTTATTGTAGTTTCAAATAAAAAATTAATATAAGTTTTAAATTAACATCAGGTCGATATTTATTAAAATTTCAAGTCTTTGCAAATGCAATAAGAATGTGCGATGACATTTTAAAACCATATAATATAAGTGTCACGGACATTTTGACAAATACAGAAGAAAATGTGTATGAAAACGTGTTATACGCGTTTCTTGGAATTGTCGCTGTTCAGGTAATATTATATTACAAAGCTATACATTGAAATATACTGATTAAATTTATTAATAACTATAAACATAACTTTTCCATGTCGTTATTGTAATGTGCCATATCACAGTTCTTATCTCGCACCCACAGAATCTCAGTTTTTGTTTAATTTGAACAAAATAATACCATGTAACTGTATACAGAACTAGAATCTTATATTTATTTTTTGTTACGTTTTATTATTTTACTAATAGTAAGTTTTTAAAATATTTTGTTTAGCTAATTATTGATATGTATACTTGTAGATCGGTTTAGTAGATCTCCTAACATCTTTAGAAATTACTCCGGATTACATGATTAGTCATTCTGCTGGCGAACTGGGTTGCGCGTACGCGGATGAATGTCTCACCATTGAACAAACTATTTTGTCAGCATACTCTATTGGTTTGTCGTGTGACAACACAAAATTGATTTGTAGCTCTATGGCAATTGTCAGTATTGATTACGAGTACCTTAAAAATATATGTCCAGCGGATATTGAAATAATATGCCGCAATAGCGAGAACAGCAGCGTCGTTAGTGGTCCCGCAAAATCCGTGCAAGAATTTATAAAAAAATTACAGGTTTATACAAAATTGAATATCTCTTGTATATATTATAATATAATGCAAAACTTTGCCTAATAATTTAAAAAAATCGAATTCATAAATTTAAACCACAATTTTTTACACATGCATGCGTTATATTTATATTTTTGAATTATCAGGTTAATAATATTTACGTGAAAGAGATCCACTGTAACGTGCCATATCACAGTTCTTACCTCACATCCGTAAAATCTCAGCTTTTGTCCAATTTGAACCAAATAATACCACATCCGAAAAAACGAAGTCCAAAATGGATCAGCACTTCTATACCCCGTGCCGAATGGCACACTTCAGCATCAAAATTATCATCGGCTGAATATCATACACGTAGTATACTAAACACTGTTTTCTTTGATCAAGCAAGATATTTAATTCCAAGTAACGCAGTGACCATCGAGATAGCACCAGACAGCGTTCAGCAGCAAGTTTTGGACGAACTCTTACATCCAAATATTACAAACATTTCATTGACTCGACGCACTGAACAATACAATAATATAATTTTTCAAGGAATTGGAAGGCTTTACAACTGTGGTTTACAGCCGCAAGTTGCCAATTTATATCCGCCAGTAACATTGCCAGTTAGCAGAGGAACTCCTATGATCTCCCCATCGATCAGGTTCAAGATATTATCATAATCATAAAATAGATTTCAAAGAAAATTACATACATGTATATATATATATATGTGTGTGTGTGTGTGTGTGCGTGCGTGCGTGCGTGCGTGCGTGCGTG